CTCTTCTCAGTGCAGCCCAGGAGGCTGTTGGCCTTCCTCGCTTGCAAGGGTGTGTTACTGGCTCATGCTCAGCGTGATGTCCACCAAGCGTGATGACCCCCAAGTTCTCTTCTACCACCCTGCTTTCCAGACCATTGGTCACTGACATGTACTGGGTCATGGGGTTCCTCTCCAGGTGCAGGGCTCTGCACTTCTTTTTGGACACTGACAGTGAGCTTGAAAAGCAGTTGGTAATGGGTAACACTTATGGCACTGATTACAGTGCAGTTATCTCAGTGGTCAGTGAAAAGAGCTGGTTGTCAGATATTTTGTATATAAAATATGTGTGTGATTTTTTTCATGCTTTCTCAGAGTATGTAAATGGGTTACATATAAAGATTTTCATAGAAGATACAAATGTTGGACAGAATTTAAACTGCTTGGATGATATAGTTCCTCTAAGCAATGCATTAGGAGTTATTCCACACTTGCACTAATTGACTACAAAGCCATTGTGGTGCTCGATAGCAAAGTCATTAAGTCTACCAAGATCTCTCGTCTCCATTTAGATATCTGTCCATCTCAAGTACTTTGCACTACTCCACCAACCAACATCCTTTAATTCTTTTATGAAACTAAGCTTCTGTTAGAAATGAGAGGCTTACCTCTGATTCTAAAAACTGATGTTTTGGAATAAATGTGCAGTAAAGCTTTTTTTTTTTCCCCCTCCAGGAAATTTAAAATTAGAAATCTCTAGGCTTTCTCTGTGGCAATTAAGTTCTATCCAGCTGCCGCTGATACTGTCCGAAAGGCTCAGGTTATTTAGCTGGTTTTTATCTGTGTTACTGGAATTGGGATATCATGTTCATTTAAGAGCTGATCCTGAGCAGCGGAGCAAAAGTCGATTTCTTTTGATTTGTCTGGACTTGGGAACACTTTGCTGTGGAAATTCAAAAGGCTTTGTTGGTTTCAAAGGAGGGCAGAATACAATGTGGTGTATTGGTGCTATCTGGCCTTCTCTGTCTGCAGCCATAGGTGATGTGGCTTGTTCAGCATGCTCTGGGAGGGCCCCTCAGCTGCAAATCAGAGAGAATACCTGGGAATTAAATGTTTGTGCCTGCTCTGCTCTTAACTCTCTTTGCAGGTTGAAAAAGAGGTGTGTACTTAACGATTTACCTTTCTGTGATCAGTAACCCAATCTACAAAGAACTAGCTCACTTTGTGGGGCTGTTGGACATGAAAGGGAGCAATACGCCATGGCTGCACAACACAACATGCCTCGCTTTAGGTCTTGCACCATGAGCATTTTAAGGATTGTAGAAAAGGAGAGCAGACATCTTGCACAGAAATGTTTACACAAGACAACTGAATTATCAAGTTGTTTGTTTACGTTCTGTTGGCATTTGGTGACCCAGTTAATACAGAGTTATCCTTAGCCCCCAGGAGAAATGATGAAGCCAATGGGATTCATGAAGTGAATAAAAATGATAGGCCAAGGGATGCCGCCCTAGAAAAGCCGAGCAGCTTCTCCTGTGCTTGTGTGCAGATGTCTGCTGCCTAGACAAAGTCCAAGTAGAACTTCAGGTAGAAGAAGGGTAGTTGGTAGAGGGGGGAAGCTTCATCGACCAGCCAAGGTTTCCCATCTGGAGGTCCGTAGCTTGTTTTATAGCATTTAATTTTCAATTGATAAACTGAATTGCATCTTGTAGTTTGTCCAATACAAGAAGAAATAAACATTGATATTATTTTAAATTTTGTTTGGGTAACTTTTGCAGTTGCATGTGATACAAATATCCATTAAATAACTTCAGGCCCAACTAGAATGCTATAGGCAAAGATATTCTTTCACGTGGGCTTATCTTGCATATTTTGACACCAATTTTCTTCTATTTAACAAGCTTCATCGACCAGCCAAGGTTTCCCATCTGGAGGTCCGTAGCTTGTTTTATAGCATTTAATTTTCAATTGATAAACTGAATTGCATCTTGTAGTTTGTCCAATACAAGAAGAAATAAACATTGATACCTTGGTTCAGTATACATCTATATTATTTTAAATGTTGTTTGGGTAATTTGCAGTTGCATGTGATACAAATATCCATTAAATAACTCAACTGAATTATCAAGTTGTTTGCTTACATTCTGTTGTCATTAGGTGACCCAGTTAATACAGAGTTATCCTTAGACTGCTAATGTAAATGAAAATTACTCTCCTGGCTTTGAGAGCTCCTTAACAATTCTTCTTTGAAGCAGCTGATTTTTAGTTAGTTGAAATGTGGGATGAACCTGGAAAGTGTGTACTGAAGGCAGCGTGTTAGTTTATGAAAACCTGTAGTGAAGGCAGGGTGGTAAAGTTTATGAAATTGCCTAAAGAAAGAAATAGCAGCAAAAGATCTTGGCATTTTTTGTGTTTTCCCGTAAGTGATTTATTCCTTGCTGATCTAAAGATGATGTGAAAAGAAATGTCATGTCAGGCATGTACACAACATTGAATTTTCTCAACTTTAGCAAGTCTGTGTACTGTATCTGAAATCTGCTAGAAGTGAGTTTGTGTATGTAATTATTATAAGGATTTAGACATGGATGTTATTGGACTGGAGTCACCAATTCCACCCCCCCACCTTCCCCCCCAGTTAATACAGAGTTATCCTTAGAGGCAGGAGGAGATGGTTGTTACAGAGGGAGGCCTGTGACTGAGTCAGAAAATAACCCATTGCTGCTCTTCTTTCCTGTCGCTTTTCAGCTCCTCCAAGGGACCACTATACCCAGTTCTAGGTCAGTGAGACTGTGTGAGCTCCACAGCTTGGTCATACGGGCAGCCTCACAAGTCACCTTTCTCCCCCTCCTGCTTTTCCTGCCTCCTTGTGATTTCTTCCTAGTAATGCCTTTGTAAAACATTGGATTTACAATTGATTGCTTTATTAAAGTGTTGTCTGACACGGGGCTTGGTCATATGGGCAGTCTCACAAGATACTTTTCTACCCCTCCTGCTTTTCCTGCCTCCTTGTGATTTCTTCCTAGTAATGCCTTTGTAAAACATTGGATTTACAATTGATTGCTTTATTAAAGTGTTGTCTGACACTGGGGATACATCGTGCAAATGACAACTTAGAACAATGACAACTTAGTCCTCTTCAATATATTCATCAATGAACTGGACGAAGGGATGGAATGTATCCTCAGCAAGTCTGCTGATGATAGAAAACTGGGAGGGGTGGCTGACACACCAGAAGGCTGTGCCACCATTCAGCGAGACATGGACAGGCTGGAGAGTTGGGCAGAGAGGAACTTGATGAAATTCAACAAGGGCAAGTGTAGGGTGCTGCACCTGGGGAGGAATAACCCCATGCACCAGTACAGGTTGGGGGCTGACCTGCTGGAAACCAGCTCTGAGGAGAAAGACTTGGGAGTCCTGGTGGACAATAGGATGACTATGAGCCAGCAATGTGCCCTTGTGGCCAAGGCCAATGGCATCCTGGGGTGCATCAGGAAGAGTGTGACGAGCAGGTCGAGAGAGGTTATCCTGCCCCTCTGCTCTGCCCTGGTGAGGCCCCATCTGGAGCACTGTGTCCAGTTTTGGGCTCCCCAGTTCAAGAAGGACAGGGAACTGCTGGAGAGGGTACAGCAGAGGGCCACAAAGATGATTAAGGAGCTGGAATGTCTCTCTTAGGAGGAGAGGCTGAGGGACTTGGGTCTTTTTAGTCTGGAGAAGAGAAGACTGAGGGGGGAGCAGATCAACACCTATAAATACATAAAGGGTGGGTGTCAGGAGGACGGGGCTGGTCTTTTTTCAGTGGTGCCCAGCGACAGGACAGGAGGAAATGGGCACAAACTTGAATGTAAGAAGTTCCACCTAAACATGAGGAGGAACTTCTTTACTTTGAGAGTGGCAGAGCACTGGAATAGGCTGCCCAGGGAGGTGGTGGAGTCTCCTTCTCTGG